TGAGTTTAAGACCACACACATTTCCTTGCTAATTTACATCCTAAATTTTTGGTCTGTTTTTCCAGATCCAGTGTGGCTCCCCAGACTGCTTGCACCTCTTCTGCTGTCTCTGCTTCTCTTGCTTAAGATGACTCACGACTTTCACCTTAGCTTACTCAGCTGCACCTTTCAGGGATTGAGTAGTTTTCCCAAGAAAGAAGTGCTTATACATGAATCTACAATTCTCCTTTTACTCAAAGTTCACTCTTTAGGACTGCACCAAAGACATACTTTCTGTCATTACAGAACTGGGAACAGGATGTGAAAGTGTGGATTACATTTCCACTGCACTTTTTACCTCAAAGCTTTATACATAACTTTTGTTTGTTCTGCAATGTCATATAGACCAAAATATACACTAGAGCTGGTGATCTTTAACCATGTTCTTACTGACATCATGTGACCAATATATTTTACATATGCTGTACTGCATATGTAAAAATCTTTTGAGACTCCACTTGGAGCACTGTGTGCAGTTCTGGTGTCCTCAACATAACAAGGATATGGAGCAGTAGGAGCAACATGATTTGGACAGAACTATGCATCAGAATGAGTATCTGTGTGAAATAAGTTTGCTAGCATCCTAGAACCACCAAAACTGCTCTACACATTGAAACATCTCATATCTGAAAATTAATACCTTTAACCTGTACCTGATGTAATCTTGGCACCTGCTTCAAAATCCACCAAAGCCAGCGGAGGAAGAGGGAACGACATAAGCCTATACAGGCCAAAAAGGTCCACCTATAATTATCTGATTCCAGGCTTAAGTCTCAGAGGAGAAATTGGAGGAAAATAAGCAGAGCCATTTTGCATTCCAGCTATCACTATTGGCACCTATTTTACAAAATATATTTGACAACTATTAAAATAATGAAAAAAAGCACCCCCAAGATAGCCTATCAGAGAGACCAGTTGCATATTTAGTCTGATTGGAGTTTCCTTTCTTTATGTTCAGCTTGCCAGCCTGAGAACGATGAGAAACCTCTGTAATTATAAATTCTCAATGTATCTTATACCTATTTCACTGGGGAATGAAAATGCTTCAGAGCAGTCATTCCAGATTTCCGACGATACTATCTGACTATGTGACCTCTTTGCAATAATTTATTTTTTATATCCTGTACCCAGGCAGATTTCCCTTCAGTGGCATTCACCGACTATATGGCCTGTTTCACAGAGCAGATGACAATACCCCCCCATACTATTCTTTTTGTCTTCCTTTCTCATTGTACCCCCATAACTTCTACCCTTACCTATCTGTTTCATATACTCATTAAAAGTTCTGTATTTCCTCCCATCACTTTGAGGTTAAGCTTATTAATGTCTTGACTATCGGTCTTCCAGGACTGTATAATACCTTCCCTCTAAAGCCCATGCTTGTCCTTGTCGAGGGAATTTCACTTGACAGAAGAAATCAAATGAAAGAGCAGGCATGTGGCCTTTGCCAAGAGTAATTTCTGCAGAGAACTTTTGGGAGGGCCTGCCATCCCACAGAACTTAAATTGGGACCTTTCAGCAGCTCGTGATTTTACTTGAAAGAGAAAATAACAAAACAAAGCTGTTGAGAGAAGTTTCCCAAGTGAAACTTAAGACTCAGACAGCAAGGAAAGAAGGTTCTTTTTAAAAATATTAACTGCTATAAACTATAGCGCTATAAACTGCTGCTCTGGAATTGAGATAAATTTAGTATGGATTCATCACTAAGAAGTAACTTCTCATGGTATGTGAGCTATCTGCAAGCTTTTGAAGCTGTCTTCATTGGATGCTATAGAGGAGTAAACAGAATGGTATGTACCTCACTGTATACGTGCTTTTGCATGGGAAAATCCAGTTTAATCCCTGGAATTTCAGCTCTCCACATTCTGTTCTTAGCTAGGCAGCTGCTTTTAGAAAAATCTTTTATCTTCAATCAAGACAAGGAGCAAACAGCATTGACTGCAAATGATCAGAAGCAAACTTTCTACTGCAAACATGATATGCTTTGAGCTGTTTCATGAATCTGACTTTTGGTTAATAGTGTTCTGCTAGCAAAGGACAGTGGATAGGAAAGGAATCAGAAATTAAAGAGCTGATTATAGGTCTAAAAAAGTTCTCTTTTTGTCACCGTCTTCTTAAAGTAATTTCATGGATTTCAAATTTAAAGAACGACATACATGACAAAACACATCTACTTTGCCAGATCAGATCAATGAGTCAACAACTTTACATTTGCTCTATTTGCTTTCCATCTTTCAGTACTCTGCTGGCTGTCAAACTAATGCACATTTCATGGTGTATGAAGCAAATCACTAGAGAGAAAGGGGAAAGAGCCACTGAGGTCACTGATCCTGCAGCTAATGTAAGGGCAGATTTTGGTTTTGTCAGGTCAAGTTTTCTTCATGTTGTGATCAGTTCAATCTTTTTGGCCTAGAAGCTTCTCCCAGTCACCTGGTATGAACTCATCCAAAGACCAGCACTTAAACTTCTCTCAGTGTGACAAAGAAGATAGAAGTTTTTCCACTGGTCCTTTGTGCATTTATTTGCACTTACACAGATTGAATACAACTTTGTAGTCTTTCTCACCCATTTAGTATTTGCATACCATCAGATAAGCGTCAGGGTGGAAAACAATCTAAATATAATCCCATGTGAAAAATAATTGTTGTTGGGCCACCTTAACCACCAAACATTATTAGGGAACCACAATAATTCACTCTTAATTTCACAGCGATAGATATTAAGATTATTTTCTTAAACATCTAAGTGTGAAATACAATGATTAAATAAAGAACAATCCAAAGAGACAGGGAAACGTAACGAGATGCAATAATACGACAATATATGCAATCAATGATTATGTAGATAAATATAAGAGATCATTCTTTTCCATAAATTTTAAGAAGAAAGGATAAATAACTACAATCAAAAGGGGGGGGGGGAAGTATATTTTGAAGGACATTAAAAAGGGCTAGGGCAAAAAAACTTACCAAATTTACCAAAGCTCAAAGGTAAGGTTTTGGACATGTTCTTTCCTTAAACTACATAAGGAAATGAAATGCAACCACACCATTTTATCTTAATCTTCATAAGTAAAGGCATTTCTGTTGCTTACTTTAAGATCAAGATAATTCTTCTGACTTTTTAGAGCTCAGAATAACACGAGATTCAAATTGGATCAATGCTACTAAAAGGAAATGATATTATTTCCCTGAGTCATGTTCTGTTGTATCTGAAATATCAAAATAAAATTTCAAGTACTGATATAAACCTTATCCCCATTAAGCTTTCTGGCAACAGAAACAGACACAAGGGATGTAATGCTACGATGAAGCACACCAGAGTTGTTACCTCAGTAAGGATGGTATTTTTAAAATCCTGTTCATTATTCTTAACTCTACCATAAGTCTGATCTGTTTCATACTTTTCCTCTTTATATTATTGTATTGACAAACACGCTTTGAGATATGGGATGTTTATTCACTCTAATTTAGGGTAGCTAAGGAATTTTACCACTGGAAGAGAATGTTATTCCCAGAATGGAGATCAGAGATATGAAGCTGCTCTTATATCCGCAGGTTATTCTTCATATTACCATATCAGTCTGCCAGCACAGAGTTAGATCAGTATGTTCAGTGCAGGACCTGTTTTCTATGGTTCCAATGAATTGTTGGAGGTGCTTTGAGACTACAAGGACACAGGAAAGCCTGCAAACAGGCTGACAGGGATCCTGGATTTGAGCCACAGAAACCTGACCACACACATCAGACAAAATCATCTTCCACAGTAGAACAGATGCAGAGTTTACCTAATCCCTGGTTCTATCTTGATCATCACTTTGATTTCCTCACTCTTTAATTTCCTGGCAAATGGGAGATGTCTCATGTAATTTCCAGCAGAAAAGGAGCTAGCAAAAAATATTATAACAATATTCTGCTGGATAACATGGTTTGGATAAATGGAGACATTTCATCCAGCATAACAGTAAAGTTTTGTTTTATCTTCTTAGCTGATTTCTATGACACTTAATACAAATAAGACTATTTAAGTATAACCACAATTTCATACATATTCTGTTCATGGCTAGCTTACAAAAACGTTTTAGTTTGAGCTTTCAAAATCTGCAGTCGCTTTCTGTAAGTATTTTTACTACTATTCTATGTTTGGGACGAAATATAAGGGGGGGGGAATTCAAAATATGAGAAATAAGAATTTCCCAACTGATATAAAAAGTGGTTGACTGTAAACAACTATTAGGCATCAATCCACATAATGAGAAATCCAAAAGTCTTTCTGAAACAATGTGTTTTAAATCACACACACTGTTGTGTGCTTCACAATTAGAAATTTTTGTTGGAATGGAAATGAATTTTAGTTGGAAATAGCTGAACACTATTTCTAGACTCTTAAAAATGGTTACCTTGATAACGTGGTCCTTGAGTGAAGCTGGTTTTTGCAATTTCTCTCAGGAAATGTCATGAACACTGCTGTCAATACCACAGCTAATTTAAACAATAGATTTATGGAAATATCATGTTCATTCTATGGCTTTTTCACTTGAGATATTATCAGCAGAATCTCATTCCAAGATACTAATGTGACATGTCCTCAGGCATTTTACTGGAAGGAAAAGATTGATGAAATCAGCGCACCTTGTAAAAGATAACATTGTACCAGCACCAGCCTTTTAGTTCACTGAGATCAGTTTCTTAGTTCTTTCTTCTAACAGAGGCTGTTGTGGTAAATCCCATAATTTTCACTTCACCTCATATCTACTTACATCTTGGGAGATTCAAGCTGGTCCTCAAGAAGTGTTTCACTAACACATAGCTCAGCCCTGGAGGGGTGACCCAGCAAAGTGATTCTAAGAAATACTCCTAGCGGTTTTTAAGGCTTGGGTGAAGGCAGCTGCAGCTCATCTAATCTAACATTGACAGGCATCCTGCTTTGAAGCTGAACTCCAGACCTCCAGAGGACCTTTACAACCAACAAGTCTGTGATTCTATAATACGTACACTTAATAAGAACCAGTTTACACCTTTGGTATTAATACAGGAAAAGGTAAGGCTGACTCAACAGTGTGCTTGCTGACTTTCAAGGCCCTCACAGGCCCACATTATTTGTTTATTAACAAGGTGAGAACAGGTATCTCTTTTATGAGATCATTTGGTTTGTAACATCATTTGGGAACTGCAGTATTAAACAACATGTGCCTATTTTAACAAATCACAGGTTGGGTACTTGACTACTTTTATGGGAGAGACCCATGATGTAGTGCAATTCATTGCACTGAGTTTTTGGGACTTCAATCACTTTTTTTTTTTTACTTTTTTTCCTAAATTATTCCCTATTACTTCTATCCCACTGTGAAACTTTCCATAAGCCCTCTTACTTCAAGCCTTTCATACCTTCTTTATAAGGCTGTTAACAGTCTTTAGAGTAACCAACCCTTTTTGAAATTTAGTACTTTTATTTACTAAAATGGATTCTGACAGCTTTGGTGCTCACTTCTACACAGAGAAAGGGAAGTGAAATATAGACTGAAAATAGCTTCAATTTAATCAATTCAATTTAACCTTCTTCAGAATAGACCTGCTACGTCTCTGTGCCAAAGGGGGAAGAACAAGAAAATATTCTTACCTCATTTTCATCTGATTCATCTGCTTATCAGCAACACCAACTTCTTGGCAAAAGGAAACGTTATTATGCCATATCACATCCACACTCTTTCATGTGTTTCTGTTTGTAGGTCTTAAGAGGATGACTTTCAAAAGATTCTCCCTTGTGTCTGCCCTGAACACTATGAGAATGATAATAAAAATCATAAATTTCTAAACTAGACAATGACAAATGTAAAGACCCTTTTAGGCCTGAGCTTCATTGCGGCTTTTTTTTTTGGAGAGTGAGTCAGGAGGTAATTACTTGTATTTTATTCTTGGAATCTCCTTATATCACTAATAAAATCGCGAGGAGGAATTTCTGTTCTTATTTGTACCAGTGCAAATCCAGAGAATGGCAATGCTCACCATGGAGTTCTTCAGGACCTACACCACTATAACAGGGTAAGTGTTCATCGCAGTGCAAGGCAAGGTATTTTGTTTTACCAGCAATTCATAGACAGAGTCAGGGAAGTCAGAGTTTTAGCTGTCACATTCACTTAGCTGCACTAACATGGATCGCTAGTCTTAAAAACTAGCATTAACTGTTGCCTGTCCCTTTCTTCTTCCCATCAGCTCTTGCTCATATTCCCCATAGAAAACCTGTTAGGTGATCAACAGTGAGTGATAAAAGCTGCCTCTATATATCTGTTTCAAATTGCATCCTCATGCATTAAAAAATCATATAAATTATTTTGCTATTAGTTTTCTCTTTCAGGATGCCAAACCTTGCCTAACAAACTCCAATTGAAGTGGAGAAAAGTTTGGTCAGCTATGAGCTGTTGGACTCATTATGTTTATTTGTATTTTGAAGATTTTCAGTATGGGCTTTATTTGTAGAGATTTCCAAAGGAGGCTGACCTGGGAATGACAGTTTGGCAAAGCAGGATGGAAAAAGCCAAGGAGAAAAATATGTCTCTCAACAGTTAAAGGTCTTTATTCTTTCCTTTATGTGTGCATAACAAATACATGCAGGGAACAGACTGCTTTTTCATCACACTGATGAAACAACAAGACCATGGAAAAATCTAGTAAAGCTGAAGCAATCCAGAAAGAAGTTCCCCTGGATGGGGTGCTGAGCCTGGGAATTCTCCATATGGAGAATGCATGGCCAAGCAGTGCCAGCAGGGCACAGGAACGTACAACGTAGGATGGAGAATGTCATTGAGAGGGCTCCAATGGGAGGGTTTTCTTTACTAAACTCTCACTGCTGAACAAAGGCAATTCTTTCTGTAACCAGATAGGAAAGGGTTTTCTCCCATATGCCATTTGCCTTTTAGCGTGAGCTGTGAAGAGATGATAGAAATGATAGAAAGAGTAGAAAGAAGCTTGCAGGATATCAGGGTGACGAATTTTAGCAATATAATCAGGTTTTTGTGTAAGAATTCTTCACTGACAGATGGGATTTCCTTCTCCTCCACCCCCCAAGTTTTGTTTGTGACTCTGATGAGATGTTTATAGAGACATCTCAGCTCCAAACTCTTGAATATGATTATAAAGCTTGAGGGAGCTTCTATTTGTAACTCAATAACCATGATATGTCCCTGCCCACCTAAGTCGCATGAGTGTTCTTCTGTTACTCATATACAGTCAACTTCTAAAACCTTAAAGCTCTTTTAAAATGGCTACAATACCCCTCCTACTGCACAATTACCTGATGATCCATGTTAATATGCCATTATAACCTCCAGCTCCACAAAAATATCACAGAAATATGTGAAGAAAACCACCTTTCTAAGTACTTTGGTGAATCCACAAGAAAGTAAATAAGAGAAAACTGGCAATTTGGTCGTCTTCCCATCTTTTTATACTTTAAGAGCACGCTTTTCTCAAAATGGTGGTTTGTATTTCTTTCAGGGAGTTTTCATGTTTAAGTTAATCCCATTTATTGACTATCCTTCCCAGAGGTCTGTCACCTCTATGCAGCTGAGGAATGATAGCTGTGATCCATTTATAAAATAGATCTTAGCTACATATAAATATCACTGAAGCTGTTGCCACCACTTCAGTTCCCAAAGAATTCTCAGCTCATTCCTCACTCCTTGACACTTCTTCTTCAGCAGCCTTACAGGAGCTTCAGAGTCACAGTTTAGACTGGAGATTTGCCTGTGGCACAAAACTAAGGGCTCTGCTGTACTTCCTAAGCAAGAAGGGAAGCAGGCAGTCCATGCTTCATTAACTAGTGGAGCACACATCTGTTTTGAACTTCCATGCAAGCATGCACTTCACTGATGGGCAGGAATGGGGCAGACCCCAGAGTTACCAGCGGAAAATTAATTCTACCACCTTTTCTTCTCAAAAGCTACTTTAAGTTTCACTCACTATGGATAGAAACTAAGGGCTGGGATTCAGCAGGGTTCAGTACGACACTTAGTCCCTCCTTCCCCTGGTTGACAGGGGAATAAGGGGACATTCTCACTTGAGGACAACTCTGAAGAAGCACTGATCCTTCCATGCTGCCAAGGCAGACCTGAGTTTGCCAGTCACATGCAAGAAAGCTTCCACATGCCACCATCCTCACAACCCATTAACTTAGCCTGACTCAAAACACCAGGTTAAGCTATAGGCTGAAAGACATTTTTAAACCCCGTAAGTATATGGGCAGAGGGCTTCTCTGCCTTGACTTTATGGGTGAGGCAGGTTCAGGCTATGGGCAGAAAACTACTCCAACCAGAAAGTGAAGTAGGATGCTCACTGCAGAACTGGACCTGTTAATTTCTGCAGCTAGGAAGATAACCCTGACTCTACTAGCACCAAATAAATGTTTTCCTTCTTTGCCTTCTGCAAATAACATCGGTGGGGCACCCCTCTGGAGTCAGAAAAGATGGATGCTGCAGCTGCTGCTGCTGCTACCTATGAGGGAGGAAGGGAGAGGGAGCAGTGAGTGGAAAGAGACTGGCACAAGCAGAGTAGATTTTGCTGCAAGTGAAGGCTCTCCAGCTGGGGCTGTGTAGGAGGGAGCAGAGATTCTGCCAGAAAGCAGAAAGGTGGAGGGTTTGTCGTGACTTTGGTTTTGCTTTTTTAAACACAAGCTAATTTTATTCTCCTGTGGCCCCTTCCTCATGTAGAGTTCTCCAAGATAGGAGTTCACAGCGCTTCAGATCACACCAAAGACATGTTACCAGACTGGGCAGACAGGGGCTGTGCCAGCAAGCTCAAGTATTTTAAATCAGTGACAAACAGCCTACCCCAAAGTATCCCCTCCCTATCATTAAGAAAACATATTTTGTCATTATAAGATTTCTTGTTCTAAGGTGACTCCTAATGTCCGTATCTTTGTGGCCTACAGAGCTAGAATGTGTATGTGGGTATATATGCAGCAGAGACAGGAAAATAACATCTGAGATCCTTTTAAAAGTTGTGCAAATCCAACACGGTTTCAGGGGGGTGGGGGGAAAGAATAATCTAAAATCCCCAATCAAACTCCTTATGCTTCTTTCCCACCCCCAGTTTGTCTACACTCAATGAACAGGGATGACAGCAGCTCTGTCAAGAGCGCTGCATCAGTATTTTCCACCCGCATATGCTGTACCCAAGCAAAAATGCCTCAAGGCCTGCCCCAGCTGTACATCCCCCACAGTGCAGATAACATGCTGAGAGGCACTGTTTTGGCCTAGTAATCTTGTTTACATATTTTCCTGCTGTGTTTTATTTTCTGCATGCCTGTGCTGTAATTTTATTTACCAGCTTTCCAGCCCCAAAGGTAAAAAATAAAAGGAGATACCAAGAACAAAAAAGAAAACGCAGGATGCTCACAGAAATGCCCTTGTTCATCTCACGTAGGCAGTAATACGCTCTTTCACTGCTGCCCTTGCTGCCATATGACAACTTGCACCTCTGTATGGCGTGTTCCCCAACTTCTGCCTATTTTTCTGACTGGGCAGCACAAACTAAAGGGATTTGTGGAGTTACAGTTAATTCAGATAATTGTATTTTCCTGCTGCCTGTATAACGGAAATGCCAGAGCTCCGGGGGCAGAGGATTCCACGTGTGCTTGCATGCCTTATGTAGTGCACTGTATGCCTACAGCTGCCCTTCCCTAGTCCCATCTGTTGGAGATTGATGTTGATTTTGCTCATCTTGCCTCCTAAAAACCCAGTAATAATAATGAATTAATTCAGTGTTCAGTAGAGTGTTGGCGACCGATTTAGCTGGGCATATTGCAGGCACACGCTCTGCAAGATTTCTTTGCTACAAACACACAAGTCTATGGATCTGAATTCTACGATTAAACACCCTGTCGTAGCCAGGTCTTTGCACCACATTCACCTCTGGGGATTTCAGTCTATCCGCTTTGTTATCAGTAGGAGACTTTTCTGTTGTGTTTCCTTACTACCTTGGACTTCTTTAATTTCAGGTACAAATCCCAAGCATAAGTCTAGTTTGTGGTTAGGGACAGAGTTAATTTCTAATCAAAGTACCTTTTTTAAGTTGAATATATTTTTATTCAAATTATTTTTTCTACTGTAAATTAAAAGCTGATAAATAGAATCAAAGCTATTTGCTTATCCTAGTCTGAAATATAAGCTTTATAAACCATGCACATACTTGCCATTTTAGCTTTTCACCCCAGCCTAAAGCAGAAATTATCCTCAAAACCTCCTAATTCTCAAAGAATGAGTAAACCCAATTCAGCTACCTACGTGCTTTGATCCCAGCATGCAACATCACAGGCTTCCATGTCTATTATGAAAATATTGGTCCGCCAAGATGTACAGATCTTACTAGAGCAGCTCACATAGCTAAGATTATGAATCTTCAAATGGTTACAATTTTGTGGTTATCTTTTCTTGAACCCCCTTACCAGTTTCTTCCTTGAACAGGAAATTCTGTACGAGAGCAAACCAAAATTTATTGATCCTATGGCAGATACTTAAGGAGGAATGCTAGAAACAGAGCATATCCTCCTGGCTCCTGTCAGTCAATTTTAGGGGACTTCCTGAAATGAGGGCTGCACTCTATAACTGTTTTTTTTTTTTTAAGATTTATATTCAGGCTGTGCTCTGCTGGCTTTACCATAACAAGTAGACACAAAGTCCTGGGTCTTTTTTACTGTGCTTATGTTGCAATTCCACATATTTGTCAGAATTCTGCAAAATTTGTAGCAATAGCTATACTTCAATTCAAAGACAGTGCTTCTCTTTAAACTATAAGGACTATAAGGATGAATTTCTAGATGATCTTAAGGTGATTTCCAACCCTAACTATTCTATGATGCTGTGATTGTGAGAACAGAGAAAAATGGACACTGTAAGATATGACTGTCCTGGCAGCATTTATCAGAAAAACGGAGCAAGAAAAGTAATGAAGAGAAAGACCATTTGCCATGTCTAATAAAAGCAGTTTGTGAGAGCAAATAACTTCCTCCAGGAGATCAAACTTCTTTTTCTATCCTCTAATAACAACAAGGAAAAGTTAGAAAAAAATTAATGAGCATGCTTTTGGCAAAACAGTAGCAACAGTTCAATGAAATAAATAAAAGAAAGAAGATGTCCTATAAAATGAAAGATGTCCTATAACTAGTAACCCTTATTAAAAGCCAGCTACAGATGTTTGTTTACATTAATATATCTTGCTATTGATTGTCTAGATCATCTATTGAGATGTCTAGATTTGTATATTATATGTGCAAGATGTAACAGGAGTCAGAAGCTGTCATTTTTGGATACAAGACAAAATATGACTCCAGTCAACAGTGCCGTGAGAAAGGTATATCTTGGTGTAGGTAGGTACAGTCAGACTAGTCACCTGCCATCATGACCACTGTCATATCTCACAGTCCTCAGACATCTCATTGCAGGTCCTATTGACCTTTCCCTGTGGCAAATATCCTTCAGAGTAGGAAACTGAATTGTTTCAGGCTGCATTGTTTAAATGGAACAGTTTTCAATTTATATGATTAAAACTACTGAACACAGGCTTGGCATACAGCATTAAATGGACAAGAATGGGAAATGTCTTTCCCTCTTTGAATGCTTTGTAAGTAACTGTATGTGATGGAGTCTTGCTTGCAGCAAGGATATGTTCCCAAGACAAAACTGACAAGGAACTTTCCCATTGACTTCTCCAAACTTTGGAAACCCAAAGGAATGTCACAGGAGTAAAACTATAACATTGTACAATGGCCTCAAGTTTCTTCTGGCAGTGAAAATCTTCTAACAAATATGCCAAAAGAAGCTGAATCT